GAGGTTTATTCCTTTTCACTGCGTCTCATATGTTTTTAAATGCAATCTGTGTGAATGGCCAGGGCTCGCAAAATCGCTAGCCCAACGTCCCGGGGCTATTGTGTTTTTCAGTCGGGCTACCAAAATGTATCACTGCCCTGCCCGATGGGCTATCTTGAATAGTGATATAAAATTCATGTAAATGAACGTAAACAGTGGTGAAAGAAATCGCAGCTGCATCATTATATTGGATCCGTGCATTCGGTCTTAAAGGGGCAGCAGCCTATAAATACCTGCTGTTTAAGCACCACCTGCTGTCAGAGAGTGACATTTGCATCTCATTCAGCCCGTCTGCTGTTTTTGTTTCGTTTGGATCGTGATTAAAATTCACAGGCAAAACCTTAGTTTACTTGCATGGAGAAATTTATTTTATTTGTATTTATTTATTTGATTTGGGATTTGTTTTAAAATTTCAATTTAGTATATTGTTTGACATTTTCAATTTCATAAAGCAATGTGCAGCCTTTTGGTCTGAGAAATAACAAAGAACCGTTAAAAAAAACGTTTGTTAAAAAAGAAATTGTGAGAAAATTGTATTGTGAAATCAGTATCGTGAATCATATCACATCGTGAGTTGAGTGAATCGTTACATCCCTATATGCTACTAGTTTTTGCTGTGGTATCGAAGTAGTAAATTGTTCTTATAACAATTCGGGCTAGTTAAATTCATTTTTGGGCTACCAAAATCTGAAGAATGCCTGCCCGAAGGGCTACTAGGGATTTTGAAATTTTGCGAGCCCTGCAATGTTTTTATAAATTATTTTAATAATGCCATTAATGGAATTAATTATTAATTGTAAAAACTATTATTACTGTTAATAATAAAAATATTAAATATAATATTTAAAAACAACAACATTCAAAAATGAGAGTATTATTATTAATTATTATTAACATTTTATTAATAATTATTATGAATAATAATAACATTGATTAATGAATCATTCATAGTAATACATAAATCAATAATTGTTAATAATTAGTAATAAATATAATTTTATTGTTAATAATAAATTAACAATGTTATTAATTATTTTTCAAAAAATATGAATAAAACACTAATTATATTAATATATTAAAAAAGCCCAGTTAGCAATATTTGACTTTCTTTTATCCATATGCAACACTTTAGGCCCAATTAATGTGTTCGCCCAATTTTACTATCTAGTCAAATCCTATAATTACATTGCTACCTGTCAACTTCAACTTTAAGCTCCATTTAATGAGATGCAAAAACTAATAGGCTACATCACGCTGGGATGAAAACGACTAAAATGGACTGTTGCTAACGAGTAATTAAATTACTAATTTGCAACAAAAGCAATGCCGAGGAACAGGGAGAGAGCTTTTTCCTAATATGCCCAGCTCCTTCACGGCCGTGTCAGCCTACACGATGACATAAGCAAACGGGCGGCATTGTGCTCCACTCATATGCAATGACAGCTGATATTTCCCTTCTTCTTGCCTGCTATAATTGCTTCGTCCATCTAGGCTGTCAGTAAATCTGATAGAACGTGTTTATCACTGTTGCCCGCACAACACGAGCAACAAATTGGGCATACGAGTACGGCGCACACCTTATCTGCCTTTTGTCAAACCAGCCAGCCTATTGTGCTTTTGCGTAGCTGAGCAGGTTCTCTTTATAAGCAGATGTTGTCTGTAGCGTCTGGTGCTGTCTGCAGTCTGGCAGGGCTGCGCGGTGGCGAGAATATGGCAAGCTGTAAGCCTTAGCGTGTGGGCAAGAATGCTAGTAAGGTTGAGCTGCCCCTGTACAAGCAAGCTGTGCCACCTTGAACCTTTGTTTCCAAATCAGCAGTTTGCCTACAGCACTGATCATTAGCAGAGCAAGTCTAGGGAGGCCGTCATCAGCGCTATCTCCAGGGGCTTCATTAGGGACTGCTGAGAGAAAACATCTTACTGGCCGAGAGGCCTGGGTGCAGGGGTTCAGAATCCAGAAAAGTCAACCACCTAGAGGAACATCTTAATGCTGACAGCTCTGAAAGCTCTCTTTAGATGAAGATCTGGAGTTGAGGGCATGTTTCTGTAGGATTATGGCCTAGCTTTACACTATAGGCGATGCTAGACATGTATTCTAGTGATTATGTAACAGTTCAGAGCATCAACTGTAGGTCTATACTGTTATTGGTGGACCTAGACAGAATTTAAACACTGGTTTTAAGGGGGAAAAAATTTGTAATGATTCTCTTTCTCATCTCTTGATTAGCAGTCCATGTAATAATAGGTTTTAGTGTAATTTTATTTTATTTTTTATTTTTTTAACAAAGTAGTACAGATCAGGCTCATTATACTACTACTAGCTGAAAAAAAGGGCTTTTAATAAAACTTGGCTGTCAATGCAGGAGAAACATGAAAACATTTGTGAAATCGAAGCTACGTGACTAGAGAAAGCAGAGAAAAAGGGCTGTGGTGTTTGGCGTTTATCCAACTGTCTGTGGGTGGAGATATAAAAATGCAAAAGTTTGATCTGTAGTAGTTTTAAGAAACCCCTGAAGCGGTCAAAAGTCAGCAAAAATTGTCAGCAAAAGTCCGCTGGATGGTGCAAAACTTTATATAAAAATGATATATATTATGTAAATATATATTATAGTTATATTTATATAGTTGAAACATTCTAAGTATTCAAAGTTGCAACTAACTGAAATAAGTTGAAGCACTAAAATACATTTTTTTAAATTAAACTAAAACTGAACTAAAACTAAAAAAACAAATCATATTTTTTTAAAAAGCACTACAGTTTACTAAAATTTAAACAAAAATGAAAACTGAAAAAAAAAAATACAAGCAAATTCAAAATATCAATAAAAACTATAATAGTGTATAAATACTATTAAAATGACACTGGTATAGATTAACAACAGGCCATTTCTCAATTACCGAGCATAACATGAAAATAATTATCGACCAGAATTTCGATGTTGGTACATCCCTACTCTTATCGCTAGCTGAAAGCATTAACTTAAAAATGAACTCTGTATATGAGGATTTAAAGGAAAGGTTCTAGATACTTCATGAGAAGGCACAGCTGTAATGGTTGACCAGAACATGATCAATGATGTACAGCATGGCTCAGTCCTGCTCCTCCCCTCCTGCAGAGTTGAGTTCCAGTCCTGCTTTAACACACCTGCCTGTAATTTTCAAGCGTGAGCCCGAAGACCTTGATTAGCTGGTTCAGGTGTTTGATTAGAGTTGGAACTAAACTCTGCAGGACGGTTCTCCAGGAGCGCGGCTGAGCACCACTGATGAGCGTGTGTATAATGAGCTGATGAAAGCTGGCACTCACATTGAAAATAGAGCTCCTCGTCCCCTTCCTGATCGGCCTTACTGTAGCCACAGTGTCTACAAAGGGAACAAAAAGAAACTAATTAAAGGCCTGCAGTGACCAGACATACAATTTCAAACATAATAGGGCTATGGAGGGCAATACATCTGGGCTCAACATGAAGAAATTGTGAAATCGGAAATGCTAATCAGAATGTTTTTCTTGACACGGAACAGAAATGCCATGAATTCCTGTTCCGTTCTGTTCCAAGAGTTTGGAGATAAATGAATCAATTAGATGATTTTTTTTGTGTGTGTTTGGGCTGGCAAATTGTCTTTCAGAATGGCTTGAACAAACAGATTTAGGAAAAATAAACATCACGAGTAAGTAAATGATCTGCAATCTGGAATTTCTAGAAATTATCTTGCCAGTTGATTGGAAATAACTCCATAATGAATTTAACAGATATGGAACACCAAAGCATTCAGAGCATTCAGTGTTGATGGACATGCAGGACAGCAATACGTGTTTGGGAAAGATTCATGTGAATTAGTTTATTCCAGTAATATGACAAACATCACGAGTGAAGTCTTCAGATGGAAAAACACGGGCATTCTTGGTTCAACCATGACAAACATGTAAAAAAGCTGAGATTGAGAAGGGAGGATCTGCAGTTGTGAATCCCATTCTGGGTGTATGCTAGCAGCATGAGCTTGTGAGGGGGAAAATGTATCAGAGGTCACATTCCCACAGTGCACGACATGATGGTGGGTGGGTGGGATCACACGCAAGTGGGTGAGGGTGTGAACTCCACAGCTATGGTGGCCTTTGAGGGACAGAAAGGCAAACTGAGAGAGCATATAAGACTCACAGTAGCGGAGAGTCAATGGGGGCCGCGAGAGCGTACCTTCTCCCTATGATGAAACCGAACACCATGAAGACCAGGATGATGGTACCGGCTACCGCCACCACTGCGATGATGATGACTGGATTCTGCTCACTCGATATGACTGTAGCTGCAATTAAAACACAAATAAACAACACAAGATGTCAACTCTAGTCCTGTAAGTTTGTTTATAAAATATAGGAATTCACAATATATTGGTACCATGATGTTGTCAACAGCCAATATTCAAGATTTTTATAAATTTATAATTTTGTATTAATATTTTATGCTCATTTCCCCTATTTTTTCATTTGGGTTACCTTTTCTCTCATCTAACATTCAATTTGTCAATTTTGAACAACACTAATAATTTAATAATACTATTGAATGGAATGTTTAGCAAATCTCAAAATTAATATCCATTTTCATACTGTACAATTACGTTGGGATGCATAAATTCACTTGTTGAAGTAAAAGATTAAAAAAAAATATTTTTTTTGAAAGATAGGTAGATAGAAAATATATTTTTATAATTAAGAATTTCTTCTCACGACTTATTCATTCAGTCTTGTTTTAGTTCAATTGTGGACACTTTGTACTATTTCATTCCTTTGTTTTAATTTAATTAAATCATGGCCACAATTTAATTAAATCCAGTGAACGAAATTATAATTTATGTGAACAAATTAGTATACCGTGGTCAGTGTTTACCTTGTGAGAATTTATTAATAAATCATAGGAACAAATTACGATTTTTACTTTTTTCCCCCACATGTCATGTGTTGGGCTACGTGGTTTTTAGTGTTTTATTTCGAATTCATTTACACAAAATGACGTTTTAAAATCAGCCATATATGATAACATGAAAATAATTGTCTGCTTACTAGAATCATCCAGAATTGTAATATTTGTGCATCTCTAATGAACTATTTGGCAAAAGGAGACAGCAGAATAGCTTAAAGCAAAGCTCCATTGAAAAAGCATGGGACGGTTGTAACCCCCTTTTCATCCTCTCTCTGCTGCGGGGAGGGGCTAGCTCTATTTTAGGGTCTCGCTGAGTGCACGGTTCTACTGTTTCTGAAATTGGGCTTAATAGTCCCAGATGGTAATACAGTGGCCTGCATTTGAAACAATGACACATTCAGGTTGGACTGTTTCTCGTTAGGTTTGTTTCTCCGAATCGAAAATACTGCGCTCACTGACAAACTGCAGAGGGAACCGAAACGGAACATCTTATCAAAAAAGCATAATGTCTTAGGTACAGTCTGGGTCAGAGATTTTATCTGGAAGAAACTGGACCTTGCCTTAAACTAGAAATAAACTAGTGGGCCAATTAACAAAAAATTGATTTAAAAAAAACTTAAAATAGCTGTTTCACATACTGTTTTGCTCACCAGATCCAGTGGATTCTTCATTGGTGGTGACCTCTACTCTGGGACCGAAAGTGCCGTATCCCGCGGCGGTGAATGCTCGGATCTGAAAGATGTACGCTGTGCTTGGCTTCAGATTATTGACTGTGGCTGAAGTAGACTTTGACTTCACGGTGGAGTAAATGCGATCCTTCTGGTCCTTCAGGTTCAAAAGAAAAAAACAAAGTAACAATTTTGTCACAGGGTATCAAAAGCACAAATTGTACAAATTCTTTACAGAGAGGGGTGGTTACGCTGAAGTGTTTGAATACAGTGAATACTGCAGCATTTGGCCCTTTTCACACGCAAGAGTTCAAGCAGAGGCAATATCACAGTATTTCACCCGTAACCTAGGTAACCAGAAGCAAGCTGTTCGCGAGGACCTGGTGCTTCATTTACAATTGGAATGTCAAAGAGAGCTCGAGGAAACACAAACACATGCACACCCACACAGAGTATATGGCTGATCCCAATGTGCATGCTATCCGCCCTATATAGTAGGCGAGATTAAGATTAGTGTGTCACAATGGAATGCAAAAGATGCCTGAAGATGTCTGTTCTATTTTTAGTATTTCTATTTTTTATTTATTTTTTTAAATATTGCCCACACCTACTTGCACAACAAAAAAGGAACCAGTTTGCACTGGATCTACTACCACAGCTTTTTTAAATGTTTGAAATTAATTCAAAGATAATGAATTTAGTTATTTTCAGATAATGTTAAGAATGAGAAATCAATCGTGGGGTGTAAAGTCATGAACTAAGAGAAATAAACTTGAAATTGTAAGATGCAGAGTGGCTATTATGGAAAAATAAAGTTGCAATTAATTGTAAAAATTGATTAATTGTGAGATAAAGAGATAATTACAATATAGTCACATTGAGATATCACATTTGTGATATACAGCAAATGATGAGAAAAGTTCAAATTGTTTCTTGAGCACCAAATTAGCATAATTTCTGAAGAATCATGTGACACTAAAGACTGGAGTGATGACTGCAGACAATTCAGCTTTACCATGACAGGAATAAATCACATTTTAAAATTACATATTAACAGAAAATATAGTTATTTTAAATTGTAACAATTTTTTATAATATTACTGTTTTATTCTATTTTTGATCAGATAAATGCAGCCTTGGTGAGCATAATGCCGAGTTCACACTGCACGATTTTAGCCCGATTTTTCACTCGCCGACAGGTTTTGCGAAATCGGCAACAAATACCCGACATCGGAGGCAAATCGGTGCTCGTTCACGTGAGTGACAATCACTCAGTGTGAATTATCAAAGACGCGATCTGAGGGAATCGCCGACGCCCGTGAAATATTTGGCATGCTAAATATCTGGAGCTGTCGGCGATTCACAATCACGCTGTGTG